TCAAAACATGACCTTGGACATACTGCTACATTTAAATTGTATTTAAGAGTAGTATTGAACATTTTAATAATACTCATAAATAAATAGTCGTGATAACAATTATTATTACATTTTGGCTACTTAGGTGTTTCATCAGCCCAGTCACCATTGAATTCACGCAGGAAAATTATCTCAAATGTTTTGTTTAAATTAACGTCACATATCCCAACAGTGAGATTTACAGTTATAAATCTATTTCGTGTTTTAGGTGACCAATATGCTTTACATTGGTTCAGTGAGCTACATTGGGCATCGGTTGAAAGAGGCCGAGTGAGGTAATCATCTACCGCGGTCATTCCTGACATGATGAAATGTTCTTATCACTGTAGAAGTTCATTTGATGGACTAATGCAATTCACCTAATGGGGGCGCCGCGGTGGCTAGGAGATGTTATCTCCCTCGCCTGCTATGCAGGAGGTCGTGTGTTCGACCCTGACGCCTGCTGCTGTATATTTGGAGTTCGCATGTTCTCCTCGTGGTCGCGTGGATTTTTCTCCGGGTCCTTGAACGTCCAGTGAAGTCGTATTTTACGGTTAATACGCCCGTGTGACCAGCCAGGGTGACCTGACTGATTTTAACCGCAAACCTCCACAACCAGCAGCTGAAGCGCCGTCGCCTACCACGTCGCTGCCCCATTCCTCTCACTCCACCCAGGCTTTGATTGGTTAACGTAATGGTCGCGGCCATGTGCTCTACCCATTTAACAGGTTGGCCGAGTGCTCCACCATGCTTATCGATTGCAACCGTTAGCCCTGGGGAGTGATTTCCTGGCGGCGTAACAGTCCACTGGTGGGAAATGTGTCAGCTTCTCCACATTGCAGGGCAGTATTTTTTGCAGCCTTGGTAAGAGCAGCTTTACAGTCAGAATGCTTTACCAATGAAAACAAGCAACCCCCTGCAACGTTTTGAAGAAATGCCCACCTGTACTGCATAGTTAAAATCAAAGAAAATGTAATATATCAAACTCTTAAAACGGATTACACAAAACAGTAACATTTAAAATTGACACACATGCTTACACTGACAAGATAACTCTGATTGTGATGTCCTGTAAAAAAATATAAATGCTGCTTTAGAAGTGGCATTGTGCTTTATATCCATGTTGATGACAAGTGATGACAATATCCAGTCACGTCACCTCTGCTGTAGGTCAGGCCCTCATTAAATATGGGCGGTGACTTTTATTATCTTCACGAAAAAGTTACGTGCGCAGAAAAGCGTTGTGTCACCATCGCTCACAGCGGTCGCTCGCCACGCGAAGGCTTGTACACATTTACTGTGCACTCTGAAGTATTGAGGGCCTTTGGCGACGCGCACTTTATGATGCAGCTCCCATCGCAGGTAAATTGTGCGGCGATGAAGCCATGGTGCGCATGAAGCACTCAGCTGCCAGGGCTGTGAGATGCCTGTAGAAGTCACTGGAGGATCAGGTTTCTGACCAAATCTGTACAGAGTTTGAGCTTCAGCCCTTGATTTCCCTTTATTTTTAATGAGGCACCCACGAGGTTGAATCAGCAATGCAAATGTTCAAGAAACTAATAATGCAGAGGCGAATTGGAAGTTCAAAAAGAGCTGTAGAATTAATATGTTCATACTTGGACTCCTTCATTTCCCTTAAGGACCAGTCATTGCCAATGATTTTATTTATCACCCAAAGTACATCCCAACTATAAGTTCGCTAAAACCGTGGAGATGGTAGAGACACCACGTAACCCAGTAGAAACAATTGGCCAATGTTTACCTCAGAAACGTGGAGTGAGTAGGTCAAGCACAACTTGTTAGCTATCAACCTGGATACGGCATTGCATAACAAGTTCTCAGGCTGGGGCCTTCAGCAGAGCTCTCCAAAATAACTGAGCGACTGAGACGAGGACGTGATGTATCTCGTGGTAGCTCGACTGGAAATGAGATCGTGAAGAACAATATATTTAGGAAGAGGTTTGCAAAGTCGAGGAGGTCGAGAGATGTATTATCAATTTTAGACATCAAGGTAGACATTTTTGATGGACTATGAACATATTCAACTTTCCTATTTAACGACAGTGCGTGTGGTGTTGTACAGGCCAGAGATTCCAGCTATACTCAGCGTATCGGTGCAGGTGATAGACAATAGAAATCGCACGGCAGGATCGGGGGTTTAGCAACTCATAAATTCAGCTGAAAACATGGGACGTGTGAAATTGCAGATGTTATCGGGACGAGGTTCCGATGGCTTGATGGAGGTTGGAGGAGGGCAAATTACTGATGCGTCCGTGCGTGAGTTGGCAACCAGAGGAGGGTGGCCAAGGACAGGACCTAAAGCCATGCGATGGGACACTGTGAAAACAGACCTTGGAGGGCAGTTGCCGACAATATGGGTAGCTATGGGATCTGGATGAAAAACAAGGGAGCTCTGGCAAAGTGCAGTGGCATCAATGGCACTGATCAGGATTTTGACCTCAGGTGTTAAACTGTTTGTGTCCAGTGGTAATCTTTCTAAAGGACGTCTGTCCATTCTGTTAAATTGTAACACACCACCGCAACCATATGCTGCGGTTGCAGAGTTCAAAAAGCCGTTTCTGAGAACAGATTTGTGGACGCAACAATTTCCTGAGAAAATGACATGGTCACCGACTGCATTCGGCATTAAAGTGCCCCCTTTGAGAGATTCATCCCGATGCACACACCATGTGATCTGACCCCATTTGATGTTACTGACCAAAAGACCCACAAGCATCATAACCAAGGATAGAAATAACTAAACCTTCCCAGAGAAGAATGTTGCATTTTTTTTTCAAACATTCTGATTTGAATCTGGTCTCACCACTTGCATGCAAGTGCTGTTCCTGTGCACTCCTCTAAACATAATGACCTTCCCCTGACCTCTTAGGAGAGGGCAAGGTATCATAGCGTGCAAATTCCCCACATCGAAATTGTGTATCCACCGAGGAAACTACCGCCAACAACCCCACCGAACGTGGCGCTAGTTTATTTACCCGTCTCTTAAGATACCTCGTCGTGTGAAGCACACGTCTCGTCAACAGGGGACTGGCCAAGTCACACCTAAGTTGTATTAACGGACCAGGCGAGGGCAGCAATTTTTCCTAGATCCAAGATTGTATCGAGCCCTAGAGCTCGGGGTTAAAACTCCCCCCCCCCCCCTCCTGCTCTTTATCAAAGATTGCTGCGGATTCTCTAATATCCTCGGGGAAGGGAGGACCTCAGTTTAACGTCCCACCCTTGCAAAACCCCAGCGCGTCGTGACACAGAGCAGCGACTGAGCAATGCATCGAGGGAGCAGTTGAATTCAGGTGAAGAGAGTTAAAGTCCAATCTACTCTGGTTCAAAGTCACACTCTCTTATGAGCATATATTGATGTGTTTTGCCTTTTCATACAAGTTTATGAGCAGTATTCTAAAACTGATTGTAAATTATGAGATTTAGTTTCTCTAGTTCAAATCTCAAAAAATTAGGCTGGGTTGTGGTGTGGCCATCAGCTATTTTACAGTAAAGGAAGCGTGGAAATAGGATTTGTTGATCATTCAGAGGTTGCGTGTGAGATATATATCTACCAGGCATTTGAAGCATTTCTAAATATGAAGGTAGGATATATAACATATCCTACCTTCATATAATTAAGTCAATCGTGAAATAGGTTTCAATGTACGTTGTTTTCGCCTTAGGTCGTGCTCTCCAGGGAAGCATCCCCAAAGTAAATACTGTAGCGGCCTTAATGTAATGACAATAACTATGAACTCGTTCCATGCTGAACGTTGTCCCGCGTGCCGTGCTAAGCACATGCACACTGAGATCTCAATCTGATATTTATTATCAACGAAGACAGCCCGGAATCGCTTCGTTCGGCACGTTGGGACGTGTGTAAATTGGTGGAGTAAATTGGTAATCCCGGAAAAGACATCGCGAGGACTGGAGTTTGGAAAACTGCTGAACGCAAGGGGGGGGGGGGGCAGTGCCGGATTATCCTCGTAGCAAAAGTATCATAATGCTACGGGCCCCACACTTTCAAGGGCCCCGCGCTAAATGCTTTCAAGCTATCAATTCCGGTTCAGTGATTCTGCACTTGCTCTATTACTATAGTACTATACTGCCTTCAACTTTTATGAACGACTGGGTGTTTAAGGTTAGCGATTTGTCGTATTATCTGGCTATACAGCAAATAAAAAAAATACAATTACTTTACTATGCAAGTATTTTTTTTTATATTTATGTGTTTTTATTTATTTAGGGCCCCTTTATAACATCATGCTACAAGGCGCCCGCACGAGCTTCATCCGGCACTGGGGAGAGAGACGTTCTGCGTGCGGCTTTGTGGGCCATCGCGAGCTGACTTCACGTGCGCCGCATGCAGAATCGGCTGCTTGAGTTATCAGCGCTGGTGGGGGGGGCGAGTCTTCTCGCCACGCGAAGCTACGCCGGTTCAGGCGCACAAAGTTGATAGAAACGTCGCTTCACACTTTGTCGTGTGCGCGCGCGTCTCGACATCGCAGGCCGTGCTTGGTGCTTGATCGACTGGAATGTCCGTTGTCCCCCCCCACCTCCTCCAAATAGCGAGTGAGCATTGCCAACAACAAAAGCACATTCGAGTCTAGATTTGTCGTCTATCATATCAGCCGGGTACCACTACACCACGCTCGCCCTCCCCCTACCCCACACCCCCACCCCTCCCCCCCTTGCTCCCCCCCCCCTTTCTTACCTATATAACCTCTAACCACGGCAACTCTCTTTTCCACTTCAGCAAAACATTTTCTTGCTGTGGTTTCCCCACCTGATGATGATTGCTTGTGTTGCAATCGAAACGTCGTGGTTTAATTTATTTTATTTTATACCTACGTGACTTTGCCGAAAGAACCAAAGAGTATAGCACATGGAGTGTTTTAAAAAACGCTCAGTACGGCGGTACTCGCACACATTCCTATTACACCGTGTCACGAAATGTTTTTTTGTGCCCATCTGTTACTCACCGGTCCGTAGCAGGTAGCTGAGTCATTGAACTGCAGACACTCCGTGTCACAGGGCACACATGTAGATCCATCCACAAACTCCCGGTAGGGTCTGGGAAAGAGAAAACCAACATCAGCATTCACATCAACTGCTGCTGTCAGCATTTGACTTGGAATTCAAACGGATTTTTTTTTACCATTCTAATTTTAAATATCTTTTTGTTATTTATTTTCTTGTGCAGCGACTGGTAACCAAGCAGAGGCAATGGACTCAGCACCCATACGAACCTACTTTAATCATGTTTGCCAGCCCATATCTGGACCCACAAACTCAGAAGGGGTTTTGTTCTCTCACAATACATTATTAGTCAGCTTTTTCGAATGCATTGTCAAATGAGCCACAGTTAATCACGCATTACACACGCATTTATACCTACATACCGTATGAAAAATATATTTCTGTATTGATACATTCATTTAACTTTTCAAGTCAAATCTGGAATAATTATGAATGCAACAACTAACAAAATGGAATAAAAAATTTCGTTTTGAATATGGAATATATTTTCTTGCAAGAGCAACGGGCCGCAGTAGCTGCAGCGTGTGAGATACGGAGGGTTTAGTGGTACATGATGTGCTCAGCCGCACCTTGAGATCAGTGCATGCTAAACTGTTGTTGGTTCCGATAAGGTGTTTAATATCAGAAGGGTTGAGGGGCTTCAGGTATGCTCTCTGCCTTTGGAACCCCATCCCAACCCATAGCAGGAATATTGCTGGCACAATGAGTGGGTGAATTAGTGAGTGGGTGGGTAGGTGGGTGGGTGAGTGGTGAGGCAAATGGGTGAGTTCATAGGTTATATCAATTTCAGGAATGCAGACCCAATAACATTTTGAAGCGAAATGTAAACATTTTTCTTTCATTTGCTTATCCTGAAGCTGGATTGATGAGCCAATTTTGTTTCGCTCTATCGTCAACGTTGTAATTGTAAAGTTCCTCGGGAAGATTCTGCGGGTGAGGAGCGCAACGCGCGAGGCCATGTGTCCCGTATTGTATCGTGGCGGCGTTCCCCTCACCCACTGGCGGTGTAGCAAGCCTCCACACAGGCGCGCCCACGGCTGAAGAACCTGCAGGAGATGCACTGGTCAGGGCCCGGTCCCCAGCAGCCGTAGTTCGAGCACAAAGGGTCACACAGCATGCCCTCTGAGGCTGCACACGCAAAGGGGCATACGTACACACGCGTGTGCACACGCGCACACACATGTGAACAGATGTGTCGGTGTGTGTATGTGTGTATGTATCAGCCAGTCATCTCGGTCATCTCAGTCAGTCGACCCGTGGCACCTGGGTCTGCCCCGTGACCTCCTGCCAGCGGGCGTTCGACACTTCACGTGGTCTCAAGGTGCACATGGCCTGGCACAAGCGTCGTGGTGACGTCACCGCCACTTAGTGGCGAATGGCGCTTGTTGTTGTGTATATATGGATGCAAGCGCACACAACTGCTGTGCACATATGCAGAGAGGTACAGTAATTATAATTCTTGTCGGTGAGACTCATCAAGGGTGTCAAAGGGAGGACTAACCTGCAGTTTACTTTCACTTTGTATCGCGTATCTCAGCAGTCAGAGATGGTTCCATAATTAAATGATGGCAATGATTTTCAAAACCATGTCAGGTTCCTATCGCTAAAAGCTGCAGCTAAAAACGGGCTGCTCTCATGTTAACTTTGACGAATTGCTTTGAATGTGACACTTCCACACGCCATTCACTCTGAGTGGTGTATGCCACTAAGCTGTACGATCAGCTGAATATATTCCAGGCAGAATATATCAGCGCCACACATGCCACACAAATACTGCAATGTGCACCAGACCCCAAATCTGGGTGTGAGATTGTAAGGCAAAGTGGTAGACGTGGCGTAGCCATTTAATCGATTCAGTAATTTGGAGGCAGCGTTGGTGTTTCATCCAGGGAAGATCATCTGTGAGACCCCCCCATATGCTGGGATGATATCTAGCTAGGAGATGGCAGTGGAGCAAGTGGGCCCATGACCTATTCATGCAAAGCTTTGAGTGGTTTCAGCCCATGCATTGGTCTCCTTTGGAGTATGTGGTTTACGATACCATTTGCGAAACATGCATTAAGACAGTTTGGCCAAGCTTCCCAATGCAGGGTCCTCTCACATGTGTGCACGTACGTTGAACTTCTTTCGCGCCGCACGGAGCCAACCGCGCTAATCGGAGGTGCGGGGGCAGAAGGACAACAAACTAAACGCAGAAAAGCAGTTCTAAAGAAATTCGTTTCCATTGAGGCCTTCTCGCTTAAATAATAACCAGGCTCGTTTGTGAATGGCAGGCAGAGGGCGACAGTCAAGGGGGATAGACGCACTGCAGTTGGGGGGAGGCTTGTTGTCGTGGATGAAGGGCGTCTGTCGCTCGCTCATGAACACCGACGTCCAGTTGATGGTGTTGTAGTAGCAGAGGCGCTCGTTCTGCTTCAAGTAGACGTTGCCGGCGCTGATCTCGTGCAGCGATGCCAGGCCGAGCGCCGTCACCGTGGGAATACGTGCCACGAGCAGCGAGAAGCCCCTGAAGGGATTGACACAGAGCGCCGTCAACGGTTGGATTCGACCTGCCTCGATTAAGCGGCGTCTTGAGACAGCTGCACCAAAACAGTGGAATGCGGGCAACCCTAGGAAACGGAACGGATATGTATTTATTTGAAAATAGACGTTCAGTCATAGGCAGAGGGAAAGGGGAAGGTCCTTGAGGCTGGGCTAGAAAAGGTACAGGGGATCGACAACACAGATAGTTAACTAAAACTACACTATAATTATTTTTTTTACCAGGTAAGGCCCACTTAGCTATGTAGCTTTATTTTAGAAGTGACCTGGCCACAAATGATCGCCCTACGAAGTGGAATATTACGTGGCATATTTATAGCAGCCAAATACTCTAAACGCATGTTGAATTTAAATGTGGAAGGAAAAACCGGAGGACCAGGAGAAAAATCCACGAGGCCACGGGGAGAACATGCCAACACCAGATATGCAGACGTCAGGGTCGAGATCGAACCCACGACCTCCTGTATACCAGGCGAGGTGGGTGACATCTCGCTATTGTTGCGCCCATGGGGGAATGGGGCTCTGTATTGTGGAGACAGCAGAGGAGAAAAGCGACTTGGCGTTGGGTGAGGAATGTCTGGGGGCTATGACAAAAGGCCTTGAAAGGAGATGGCCTAGGTATGGGAAAAGAGCTATTCGTGCGGTGGTGATCACCAAAAGTGACTGGTGCTACTTATTGTGAGAAGATGGACTTGGTGTTGGAGATGACGAGATTGAGAGTGTGACCATGAGAGCGAGCAGGAGAGGAGATAGATCCATGTTTGCCAAGAGTGACTGGAATACGATTGAATACCATTCGACGGATCATCAACATGGATGTTCAAATAATTATTGGTAAAGATGAGTGGAGAAGGGAGAACTGAGTTCGAGGTTAGACCTTGAAAGTCAGACGTGAAGGTTGCATTTGGCTTCGGTGGATGGTAGATGACAGAGAGTTTGAGGGTGTAAGGTAGTGGAATATGAAGGAACAGATGCTAACACAGAAATAAAAATTAACATTGTACGGTGTGAAAGAAGTTTAACCTCCATACAATACCTAACTTATGGAATAACCAGTTAAGAACCACCTGTATCAGCACAGGCTGTGACGGCATCTGGATTTTAGGAATTATTTGTTATACTAATGCTCCATAAAAAGGTAGTACAATGACACATCACTCAACTTAGATTTATTAGGTTGTAAATCCACATAATTTGCATTAGCATGCTAGGGTACTTCATAATTAAAACTCTGACAACAATAATACTACTGTAATAAAAATTAATTGGCCAATCAGCCCAGCTCAAGGATACGTTCATGGAACACAAATTTATTGTTACATTTGACTTATAAGATTTGACTGTGACTGCAATCCTACTGGGATCATAAACATGAAAACTTTTTGTTTCAAGTAGTTTGTTTTTGCCAATATACCTTGAAAAATATACAAAGTATCGCATGCATTTTAAATATGAATATATTTATTTAAAAAGTAATGTTTCCATTTTTTTTTTTACAAATGAATTATAATTAATTGGATATTTAAAAATAAACATGAAAAGTACACACAGGGTAATAAGAGGAATTTCTGAAGAACACAGGACATCAATATGGAACAAGCTGTCCATGCAGTCTGATCTGTCAAGGCCATTACACTTCATACCTTTGTAAAACTCTGCCACGAATTGTGGTCAAGTTCTCAAACACCCCAAAGTCTGTCATGTTCCGTGGCCAGGCCTGGATCATCAAATAGCCTGTAAAAAATCACGGTAATACATTTTTAACTTTAAAGCCATTACAATGTACTTTGTTCATGACTAAAGCTGCTTATAGCCATAATTATATGCTCGTAGCTGCAATTAAAAACATCTATTTACATTTTTGGGCATGGAAAAGTGAGGTATGAAAATACATTCGCTGGTAAAAATGTAAAATAATGGTATCGTCACTGGTTAAGTAACAGGCTCAGAGGCTGAACATATTTAACTTAGGGTGTCGGTAAACAAACGCTGCCATAAAACTGAAACACACATTGTTGGTGTAGTAGTACATGCCTCTAATAAAGCTATTGAGGCAGAGTTGGCGAATCATGCAAAGATCACAACATGAACGAGATTCCTAAAGTTATTTTAGAAGATGGCAGTACAGCACGTGTGTGTGCGTCCCATCTGGGTGGACGTTTAAGTGCTGTCCGTTTGTATACAAGGCCTCCTGAATATGAATCTCGCGACTCACGGCCACTTCCCCGGATGGATGAATAACTATGACTATTACGTTTTGTAACGAGACGGGATTTGGTAAGGGATTGTTTGTTGACGATGGTGGGCCCACTCTGCAATGAAAGGCTTTAACAGCAGGGATTTCGTTGCACAGTAGCAGAGGAAATCATTAGCACCCATGCAGATTGTGGCAAGCTGAGCAGGACTTTGTGGCCAATGTTCAAAATAGCTGCGAGGTGGCTCATGCTACTAATCCATATTTGTAAGCACCCACATTCGTTACGTTTTAGAATTAAGAGTCCTTTATTTTACAGGGTAAAAAAACACTGATATTCGTGTGAACTTTGCAAGAAGAAAAAATACACGAGCACTGTTAATAATTGATTGTCGGGTAGTTTCAACTATCATCACCTGTTTAATACATTTATTGTGCTGTTTTCTGAAATGAACGAAATCCCTTCGTTTGTTCATTTCGAGTATTTCAATAAAACTCGCCCAAAATAAATAACCCCTTTTCCATTGCTCAAGGCCACTACATATGCAATTATCAATACAACCTATATGCTATATTGTTTACAGAAATCAAAAAGAACAACAACCCATGAACAATGGACAGTATTTTGTCTTTAGTTTACCTGTGACTTCCTTGACGCTGCGAAACACATTTAACTTTTCAGGTTCAAGGGGAGGGATTTTCATGTACGAATCCCTGAAAAGAATACAAGAAAATTCACAACACAAATGAATATACAACAAATAATATGTGGATTTGCTGCTATTATCTGCGGCCTTAGTAGCCTCCAAAAGGCACAAACTACCACGTCAAAGAGCCACCAGCACCATATTGTGCCTCTGTCTCTTGGATGAGAATAAAACTCCACGTTCTCCATTGTGCATGCATTATGTAACCTGGCACCGGCAATCCCAAACAATAACTCAATCTAGATGCTAATGCAATGGACATAAATAACACAGACGCAATAATGCCAGAAATGCAACATTGAGTATGCACGGGACGGGAAAATATACGAAAGGAAGAGTGATCCTCCCTTGTTCCGTGGGCAATTTTACTTGTAAAGTGCCTTTTGTTCACTACAAAGTGCATCAGTTGCACGGGAAGTGGAACTCTTCCACACCGGTAAACTGTGGCCACTTCCACAATGTTGCAATTTGTCTCGATGTTGCATTTCATCGCAGCGCACACTCGGTCACAAAACTCTCCAGCGTTATCACATTCACTCGGGAAAAAAAAACATTGACGCTACAAGCTGTCTCAGGGATATGGGGGGGGGGGGGTATTGTTGACTGAGTACTGCTTTGAATGTTCTTTGCAGTCTCGTTAGAATCTCAGCAGGTATAGCTGTAAATATAGCTCTCATGTAGCGCATCAAAGACATGGAACCCCGATGTGTGATGCTGCATTTCACGTAAATTATAATTTAATACTATGTAGAGTACTGACTTAAACGCAAACCAAAATAGCAATATAATTTGCAGTAAATAAACAACAGAAGAGACAATAATGAACAATTATTTTACTCCATGAGGCATTATGGTTTGCATTATAACGCTAATTATGAATTCATCAAGCGTGCTAATGAGAATAAAGTAATTGGAGTATAATACTTCTCAATACCTGTGTGTATTTAAACATCTGGCTCAACATTCCCATCAATATAAGATATAATGGACATAATGTAATATGCAGTGTAAAGAGTCTGAAAACAAATGCATTTCTAGATATTCTACAAGATACCGGAGGGCTGATTTATTGAAGATGGGGGGGGGGGGGGGGAAATAAGCGTGAAGAACAAACGTATTGTTATTTATTTTTGTCTGTTTTTAAACAAGAATGGAAGGTTACCGAGGTCACAGAGACAGAGAGAGAACAAAAACTACGAGTCTCATAAAGCAGAAAATAAAATGTGAGATTGAGGGCTCCGGTCACACGCCCGAAGTTGAACGGCGTTGAGTTAGCAGGTGCGGACGACCAGGGGAAGGCAGTGCAGAGACATTGAGGCGCAGCAGAGAACGAATGGTGACCTCCCAGCGCTTGCCGGCTACATCCCGCACGGACATTGCCAACCAGCAGACGGCACCAGCGCAGGGGCTGGAGTCAAACGGTGGACATGCGAGAATGCGCGCCGACTGCGTACCCCTTGATCCCCGTGACGAGGAAGGCGATGTTCCCGTTGATCTTCGTGCAGTTCTCAAACGTGTCGATGTTTGAAGCGTCCACGGTCTGCGCGTGGCTCAAGTTTCCCGTCCCGATGCCATCGCACGCTGCAAAACCAAAGGGTCGTCCGCGCGCATTCCTTAACTCCTCGGTCAGCACGTGGTAGCTGTCAGCTTCACGCTGAATTTTTTTCGATTTAAAGCTTCCGTGACTGCAGGGATTCATCTTCTTGGTTCTTTCGGTAAAGTCACGTAGAATGGAAATAATAAAATAATAAAAATAAAACATTATAAAATAATTCTCACGACGTTTCGGCCACAACGCAAGCAGCCGTCCTCAGATAAAGAACAGATCTGTCGGGAAGACAGAGTCTTCAGACTTCTTCCCGACAGACCTGTTCTTCACCTTATTTATTTTATAATGTTTTATTATTTTATTATTTCCATTCTACGTGACTTTACCGAAAGAACCAAGAATAAGCGTCACGCTGCTCTACCCTCAACCATTTCTTACAGAAGCCCCCGTGATCGTGTTCGCGTGGATCCCACCCAGCCCACGTGACATACATAACAATCCAAAACCACCTGTGCCGTGGTATTCAAGGCCACGTAAAAAAGCAAGAAAAAAACCAAAAAATTAATCACATTCCTCATCCATTTCAGTCATTCGTGAACTTTAATATAAAAGTATAATTTTCCCCTTTGCGTGGGACATTTGAACATGTGACATATTTCCTATATATTTCATTTTTCATGAATTTTGAATGAGGGTGGCTTGAATTCAAACTAACACGGTTAATGGAGCTAAGAATGCACGAATCCGATCCAAGAATAGAAATCTTCCTTGCCATCATCTCGCATCACATCACGGCCTTTCTGTATCACTGCAGTACTCAGATGACGTGTACGTGATGAGCCACTTCGTTGAGCTATCATTTGTGGCAAGGTCGCTTCTGAAATATAAATGAATAGCTCAGTGGACTTTACCGGATAATATTTTTTAAAACGTTTTATTTGTATACATTTTAAGTGGTTTGTTTACCTTTCCTATAATTTGCACTGCTATCGTATTTTTGCTTTTTTTTATTGTTGCAACGTCTTAACCCCCCCCCCCCGCGCCCCCGACTGGACATGTGTGAAAAAGAGCTTCATAGCTCATCTGATTCCTCCTGCAGTACAATAAAATATTCTGATTCCGATGAGCTCGGCTGTGTTTCATTTTGATAGTCTGTTGTTATTTCAAAAGAATGTCCAATAATATATGAAGCTACGCACTTAATAATCCTGGCTCTCCCATAAGTGATGTTCACTTTACACTCCTGGAATGGTACCTCTGCTATTGGAGCTACGAGAACTGCCATGGTACATCATTGTACGAAGCGAATACACCGAAGCGAATAATCACACTGCAACTAAAGCTACAACGTAACAAAGCCCAAGGTCCAATGTCAATGTTTATAGATTAACCAGTCGTCATCTAGCAAAGTGACTGATTGTTAAGTAACTCAGCAGGGTGACGGGCTATTCAATTAATTTAGTTTATTCAATTAAAACATTGGGGTGTCGTGTGCGTGGGGGTCTCAAACACAGATAATTGCGGTATCGGTTAACCGCCCCGTGTCTGCATCTCTGGCCAGCATTGCCTAGGATGCACCATCTGTTTAATTATTAAGTCACACCGTGCCCTGTTCTCCATGGTCACAGCTTGGTGTACATTGTTAACACAACCCCTGTGGTGGCTGAGATATGGTATGGGAGGCAATTGGCAACTTGAGTGGGTACCAACCTCCGCTTTGATTGTTTAGTTCCAAGCAGAAGGGCTGAAGTCTTGATTTTAAAGGGCAGCTGTATAGGTTACGTCAATAATAACATCACAAACAAAAAACAAGCGTCGCGACTACGACATTAGATAATGACAGACCAGCTTTGTCACACGAAATTAAGCAGCTCCTTCAGGCTCTCCGAATGTGCGTTCGGACTGAACCACGCACTGGTCGCCATCGATGTCCAACGTTTCGCACATAGCATCTTGAGCGAAACGTCAGACACCATGCCGAACGGGAACACACATTGACGAGCCATGCAGCGCAACCGCGGCATTGTTCAATACCATTCTTCATTCTTGAGCAACACTGCTCAGCGGTTTGTTCTTGTGCCAATATGTCCTCATGAGATCAACGGCAGTGCAACACCTGACGTTACGAAGGTCTCTGCCACCAATACTGGAATGTGGAACTTCTGCCACTGGCTCAGGGCCACCAAGGGACATGATCAACGGTCCTCTGTCCCTTTGAACAGGGGAGACAGATGCTTTGACTCTGAACATTTAGTGAGGATGAGGTGAGGTGCTGGGCTGCTACTAATGAAGATGGTTCTATCTCCGTGGATGCGCAGGATTCAAAGAAGCTGAGTGCAGAATATCTGCCGGTGTTGGCGAAATGTTCTCAGAACAACAAGAGCCCATTAACTCGACACCGAGGCAACGCTCTGTCACATCTTTATCGCTTTCACTTCGCAGCGGCCACGCATGTGCGGTTGCACGCGAGAACCGCGATGCAACGGAGGTCTGCGCCCCCTTTCAGGGTGCATGTCGCGAGTCGTGAAGAACACAAAAAACAACTCGTGAGAGTGAATGTGGGAGTAGGGATGGTGGTGTGTCTCCATCTCCCTACCTTTGGTGGGACAGACGTGAGTGCAGCTCTCACACTTCTTCTTGCCCTGCTTCTCCACCTCGTGCTTGCCGGCCGGGCAGGCTCGCACACACGAGTTGTAGTCCACCACGAAGTTATCTGCGGAAACGGCACGGACATCACCGCAGTGTTTTCTCGCCTTACTCGATGAATAAAAAAAATCAACGTGCACGTCACCACCAACGTGGGCGATCGAGTCGGGGAAAAGCTGCTCGGTGCTCAGGTGAGTGTTGGGTAGTGGTCATCTCTCTTGGCGGCCCTTGGCTCGTGGTGAAAATTCCATATTCCTGTGGTGAAGGCCGATCTCTACATGGGACGACCATAGCATTTTGTATTGGCCCTCACAGCAATGATGGGCTGATTTGATTCCCAACAAGAATTTGAACGTCCAAATTTCTATTTTCGAGTCAAACTCTCTGCGCAGCATCACCTATCACAGGCATGCAGGGAGTGCGTGCCTATAATGCTGTTTCGCAGTAGAAGTTTATGATTTGTGGAACCATCAGCATGTGGCTCATATCAAAAGCAGTGTGTTACCAAACTGTATAAACACGTTTATTTAGAAGCGTAAAGGTTTGTATTAATATAATATTGATTGTTAATTAAAAAAAAGTGTGCGTTGGTTAGAAGACGTCACGAGAAGGGATGATGGCCGGTCGTCAAGACTAACAATCGAGTGGCAACAAAAGGATGGAATGTGCCCGAGAGGAGACCCACCATGGAGATGGACTGATGGAATCAACCCATGTGCAGGTGCTAGATGGATTTTTGCAATGCAAGACCGTGAGATGAGGCGATAACTTGCAGAGGCATTCATCCAGCTGTGACCACATTATGGTTTATGAAGGTTTTACGTAATTAAGGCCATAACCCCAATAAACATACACAATACCAATTTGATATAGTAACTTTGAATTAGAAGATCTTAGGATTCGTGTATTGCAATTGGCAGTTGCAGTAACTTGGGTAACTGGTATATACTATTAGTACTGATATCGTTATGGACTCTTAAAAATGCTATATAATATTAATATACATACCAGAATTAATACAACCCATTATCTGCCAGAGTTTGGAAAAATAAATTCAGATTTTTTTTTTAAAGCTTTCGTGACTGCAGGGATTCATATTCTTGGTTCTATCGATAGTATTGTTATTATTTTATTATTTCACTTCTACGTGACTTTACCGAAAGAACCAAAAATATAAATTCAGAATTGTTTGGGAGTAAAGTAAAATACTGCAAAGATGCGAATCCGTGAAAAATATCGAGGGTCACGCGTAAATACCCCTCTACTCCTCTCCACGGTGCACGTCCTGGTTTTTGTATCGCGCTTAGAGATGTATATTTATTTAGATCCTTCTGTAAACACCGATTGTTTTGTTACATTTAGTAGCATGTGTCATATTAGTATCAGTCAACTCAAAGTCTCCTCATTCTGTAATGAGCATTGGTTGGCGCTCGTATCCTGAGACAGTGATGGACATTCCACATTCCCATGGTGGGGCCCAGTAGCTCTAAAGGGCTAGGCCAGGTTGACCCCCGACTCAACCTCAACGTGATGTTACGAGTCAAGCGCTGTAAAGACAGCTCCTCCAAGCAGGGTGCAGTGTTAGTGGTGTTGCTGACATTGCCACCGAATGTGAAGAAGAGGAAGAAGATAAAACATCACAAAAGTGCCATTCAAGCTCTATGACCACGGCTCATCTGTATGAGCAATAATCTGAGGTGCCTGATAACAGCAACGCGTAAAATAACAGCGACCTCGCTGTCCTTGGAGGGAACATTAAGCAGGGCTGTGGCTGGGAGATTCCTGGGGGGGATGAAAAAGATCCTCGGTTGCACTGCTTGGTCGGAAATGTCATTGTTTGTGTCAGGGTGAGAATTTACGGACATTTAGACTTCAGTGTCAACATTTCGATGAAGTAAGTCAGGGTCTCCATATAAACAAAATTTACGGAGCGTTATGTGTCTGCCATGCATGAGAATTTAAAACATAAACAAAAAAAAAAGAAATTTAATTTTGAATGACTGTACCCCTAGTTCATTTTCGTATTTGATGAACGGAGACTTTATTTTACGCAATAATTAAACCAGTGTAATTAAACTTAAATCAGTTTAAATTACTCAAGTCTGGTGATCAATGCATGCACAAGAAACCGCCATGTACGATTTATTTTGCGTTTGACTTGGTTGAATGCCAGCTTTAAAAATAAAAGTGTCAATTTCATTGCAATACAATAATCTCATTACAGAGTACATGGGAAGGTGCGCCCCCTACTGTGTAGAGTATGAAAAGGTCACGATAAATATATATTTTTAAGTGAACAATCTCTTCCAAATATGCTGGGTCCATCACACACTGCACGCATCAATGCATTGATGGAACTCAATTCTTGCACTCACAATGCATGCGTCGTGTGTGAAAATATTACTTTAGAGTCACATTTGCTTTATTAAATTACCATAGTTCACGTGACCCCTGCAGCCACTTGAAATGCTACATTGCACCATAATTTAAGAAAGAAAATTACGCTTGAGTCAAATCACAACCCCGAATCGTGGCATTTTACCAAGTCGTAAAGTTGGGAGGCATTCACAGGCCGACTGGACACGTGATGTTTTATGGACATGGTCACCATGGTTACCATGGTCACGATGTCCATTTTTTTTTACTTAATTCAGTCACACTCAGCTCAGACAGTATATTATGAAATGAAAAAAAGACAATCCCTAACAAAGCCAGAATCTAGCTACTAAGGAGGCAGGTAAGGAAAAACTCATTGAAGACACAGTAGGGGAGATGGTGTGCCTGGCCCCTAAGAGGTCACGTTGTTCCACTGTCAGTAGGGGGCTTCGGTAATGGAACAGAACTCTGCTTTGTAACTGATGTGGGCAACCCATCTGGGATAAACAAATGTTTTGAACAATTCAGTGCAAAAGCATGGTGCAGGTCTAGCTGTACTGAATGTGGCATACGTGGACACTCCTTGACGCAGATGGCCCCATAGCTGTACTTGACGTCGGGATTTTCCTCCAGCTGGAAACTCACAGGATTGTAGATCATAGGTGGGGGGCAGTGGCTCACGCAGGCACCGCTATCATTGAAGTTCTTGCAGGCCTGCAGTACACACACGGAAACACACACCGTGAAGCACGATACTCACATGTGTACCCAAGCAGCCACCACTGCTGCCACTTGTTCGTAAGTTGGAGTCAGTGGGCCCTATTCATTTAGAGTTTTTCGACCATCAATCCACCAACTAATGCGAACATTGCTGCCATCTTCATACAAAATCTGAAAATTGTAATTCTGCAATTTGCAATTCCTGTGTGGATGATTGCATACACAAACCCAACTGTGCTGCCACGTCTTGTGCAAAAATTGCGGAGTGGTCTAAAGTGGGTGGGGTTAGGGCAGGGGTGGAATTGTTAAACGAGGATGTGAAAACCTTTTTTTTACCGTTGTGCAGAATTACAACAATCGTGCTTTGATGGATTGGCTTGTGTTGGGACCACTGAAAGGGCATGTCCACTCATACCAGGGTGGCGGGATGTTAACTACCTCGCCTGGTATACAGGAGGTCGTGGGTTCGATCCCAACCCTAATGCCTGCTGTATATTTGGAGTTTGCACGCTCTTCCTGTGTTCGTGTGGATTTTTCTCCGGGTCCTCTGGGTTTTCTCTCCACATTTAGAATCAATACGCAAATAGAGTATTTTGCCGCAATACATTTCCACATGACAAGCCACTTCGTTGTTCTATCACTTGTGGCCAGGTCGCTTCTGAAAAAGAGCAGTATAGCTCAGTGGGACCATACCTGGTAAACTAAAAATAGTTACGTTTAATAGTTTAATATATTACACAAAAATTAACGTGGGCGTGTATGGCAAGTTCATTCTGCAATCTCTTTCGTAGGAGAACTTATCAGCAAGTTCTTGGCTGCCAAACATCGTCCTGAAAATGGCCAAATGGAAGCTCCATACTGAGTACTAAGACTTATTTAAAAGAGTGGTTTGAAAATGGGAGGAAACTGGGGTGCCCACAGCACTATACATTGAGTTTGTATGCGACATTGCCTTGTGCGTTGAACCCGGCTCAATAGTGTACGTGAATGTATCTTGCCAATTACATCCAGTAACCAAGAAGCATTTGTTTAACAAACCTGACGAGACACAGAAGGTCAAAACTGGTCCAGAACTACCCTGCTTCAACAAATGTGCCTATTTAAAATTGGTCTGGGAAGCCAATAGGCTGACTAAAGTATATACGCTTAGTACAATGTGCAGAGACACAGCACCGAGTTGTGCTTATAGAATACGGGGTTCTCTCTTAATGCTCCATGCAGAATGAGTGCGTGCATGCAGAGGGCGCATTGCGGGACTCACAAAGCAGTGGGTGTCCCGTGGTCCCGAGCAGCCGGCCGCACACTGGGAATGGCAGCACTCACTGGGGCTGGGCCCATAGCAGCGGCCGTCGCATTGTCTCGCGCACAGCAGCTGGGTGACTGCCAAGGCAGAGCACACACCAGACAGCACACAGCACACCAGACAGCACACACAGCGTGAGGCACCAGACAGCACACCAGACAGCACACCAGACAGCACACCAGACAGCACACCACACAGCACACAGCACACCAGACAGCACACCACACAGCAGACCACACAGCACACAGCACACCAGACAGCACACCAGACAGCACACCAGACAGAACACCAGAAGGCACACCAGACGGGATGTACAACACCAGTGGTTTATAAGCATTCAACGTTTTTCCTACAAATCTAATTTGACTAACGGAAGTTATGAAGCAGAGGTCTCTTCAATCATCATAATCGAGAGCAACCGCAGTGATGTAGTTGTGGCAGAGAACAGCCCTGGTCAAGAAACCACGAATAATGTCACATAGCTCACTCGGAGAGCCTGTGTTACTTGTCACTGGGAAGACACTCCTGTGCTACCAGTGTAGGTGTGTTCTTAGAAACCAATAATATTTTTTTGCAATTATGTTCAGGTTGGTATTCTCCACATGAATTAGTCACTGGACTAAGGTTGTAAACACATGACAATGCAGCAAGTGGGTTAGGCGACAATCTGTCCACATCCATAATTGTATGCGTGGGCGTTCGAGGCATTCTGGTTTACACCAACATGCGAGGCACTCGTGAACACGGGACTGTGAACCTAACGATGATTTGTATTATTTTCTAATGAATCATCAAACTTGCCCTGACCAGTGCAGGACACACAGCATCGGTAACATATCTGCTGCAGAAGCGATGCATGGCCTGATTAACGCAGCTATGTGCGTCCAGTAATTTGGCCATCACTTTGCCAATATTTTGTCGAATGATGGCCATTTCTGCATGAAATAGGAAACATTCCGCAAAAAAGTTAAAATTCCACCACGACTCACGGCACGATTGCAGAATGGCAACAATTGGATGGGGTGTAGGTGCGACCTGACACGCGGAAAGTTACCCCAAACATGCAAACACGTAATTGACAAGAGTCATACAATTACTCACCTTGATGGAGGGCAGGGGAAGTCTCTCACACACACACACATTATTAACGTGTGTGCACTCATGTGTGAGACAGATGAAGCCTGACTAGTCGGCTCGCATCGTCGAGATGAGGATCGAGCGAGCGAGCGAGCTGAGCACACAGGGCTCTGGCTACACTCGGCACTCCCCCAGATACGACTGATGGACTGTGGGATTCGTTGCGGAGTGAGGCTCCATCGAGTCGTGCCAAAAAAATCATTTGTCACGTGAATTAGGCAGAATTAATTGTGGAATTTCCACATTATTTTGAAAATTCTGCTTGTGGACTGAATCGAACTCCACGTACATTAATCAGGCTTAAAAGCCTAAACTAAACAAAGTCTGCACATTTCTGGAAGATATTGATTCAAAATGTGTATGCTTTTATGTACCTTTAAATTTTACTTCAAAGCGCTTGTTAAAATGGATTCAGCTGAGGTTCAGAGCAATTCAATAAGCACGCACCTGCTGTGTGTAATTAACTTACATTTCTGACAGTATTCAGGTCCTGCACCCCAGCAGTGGTTATTACAGCTTCCATAGCACAGGTCGCCTGCAAGAGAAGAGCAGGCAACAACGTTACGCTAAACAGATTGTACGTGAGCACACCGCTGTGCGTTCTGTGTCTTTGGCACTAAATGTCTGAACCTGGGATGGAGCCTGACCAGTGCACTCAATCTCATCGGATCATGGAAGATCATTTTCATCAAGGGTCGAACCATTTCAATCGTGCATCATTGGGTGACCACCGTTCACAAGCGACAGGCGTCGTCGGCACTGCGGGCAGGAGAGGGCAGTGCAGTGAGACCCATTCGTGCCCCGTGCTCCTTTCCACCTTCACCAACCCACGACTGACCACCACGATGAAGTATGGTCAAATATTACTCGCGGTAAGCTGTGGGTAGGCCAACATCCAGCAGTGGATTGACAACACCTGTACAGTATATTTGAATCGATTATTCGTTGGTATATCTCCACGTTCGAATGAGCATACGATTTTGGTATTATCCATCGGTGGTCCTCAGCCAGTCGTGGAATTCCATATTATCATGGCAGGGGTTAATTTCCATGGATAGAACACTCTTGACTTCTGACAGAGTAGTGTTTATTGATTCTGGACGGATGACGATTCAAATTCATCACCAACTGAGATTCTAGCTCAACACCTTACACGTACCACAGTGCCACCTGGCCAGACAAATGACACATACACTCCAGTAAATATACAGGATTATATAACCACCACTGCCCAACAGCAGCCTACTACACCTAGATTCGCTCACCAATGTGTTATATCCGCATGTAAATAAAAGTAGTTTTAGTTAATTGGCCTATTTGGTTTCCACACCAATATTATTTCGCAGTTGTAGTTTCAACAACAAAACCCTGGACCAATTTCAACCTTCTGTGTCTCATCAGCAGCCAGGCTTGCTAAACAAATGCTGCTGGGTTACCAAATGGGATTGGTAAACTAAACTATAATATATATATTTCGTGCTAAAGTACATTTAAGCACAATCTACTGTCTCCGTAAATACATAAAGTAAATTTCTTTTCCAAAAATAAACAATACAATAACTTTTTTGAAGGATATAAGTGAAATAGAACCAAATAAAGTGAAGTTCACAACATAACACTTTATTATCCTATTTAATTAATTCAACCGTGCTCGTTTTATAGTCTCAGGGCTATACCTGAGCATGAACAACAAGACGAATGGCCAAGCTGTTTGTGTGTGAGGGGTGGGGGTGAGAGCGCCTGCGTGTGGCAGCAGTGTCCACAGAACTCCCATTACGGCCTTGGCACGCCAAACTGAGCAATGGCCGAGAGGTGTCACCCATTCTCCCTTTGCTCCCTTGCTTACAGGAGGTGCTGTTGTCCTTCTCCACGTTCACAATGTTCCCTTCCTTTACAATTTCACGCCACTCGATGGTGTTTTGAAAGCACAGGTGTTTGTTCTCCCGAATGTACACCCCTCCGTTCAGGATTTCTGTGGGAGGAAAACAGCCAATTTACAATCGACGCATTTCTCTCCATTACGCACACATCCTTCTACCACTTTACCTGTGCAATTATGAGAAAATACATCCGTTCATATAAACGAGGACCACTCATTTACGTGCTACATATTTTCAAGGAAATATCTTTTTTTAAGTGGTGATTTGTCATTTTCCAATTAAATCCATTTCAACACGTGTCATCAGTCCGCACACGTATCTTTTCTGCATTCATTTTATACGTATTCTACTGATTACCCATCACGTTATTCATAGTTGAAATGAGTTCAAATCAAAACATGCAGCTCACCGCGCTAGAGTTCTTGTTATTTCCGTAAAACTCATACTTCGTTTTCCCATTTTGTTTTAAGCATTTTGTTAAGAACCTTTCTACTGCAATCTGTCTCTTTTTACCACGAATGTGTCTGTTGTTTGTTCTCCGGTACTTGACGCTCATTATGCTTCAGTCAAGGTGATTGATGGATGGCATATGGTGTGGGTAAAGATTGTGCAGGCAGGCTAATCCTTTTACAACTCAGAGGTTCATGTCACGAGGGGTGGGGGGGGTGAAAACTGTGCTATTTATTTCGTGGTCAAGAAAAATGCATATGTGTAGCCAGCAGCAAATGGTTATGTATCAGTGAGCCGATTTGGTAGAAACGAGATGTTAAAAAAAACAGTTAAAGTGCATAAGTGCGAATTCACGGCAGTTGTTACCTAAACAAATCCACATCTATTTACCAGAGTGCAGTCATTAGAGGACACGCATAATGTTACTTGGCAGCATTACCCCAGCTCGCTCACCAACATTTACTGATCCTCATTTTTGTATTTATACATATCATACAATTTTGCAAATATAGTAAGAGTGTACAGTAATGCATTAATGCAATGGACGGTATCATGAAAGCAATGCAATATATAATTAAATACTTTATGTATTATTAGTAACGTATGTGCGCTGAAGATGGATCATTGCCTAAGACGGCACCTATTTTTATGGTTATTTTTATTTAACGCCACCGCGTTATTGACGAATCTGTTGAGTTGTTTGTGATGTTAATGATCGTGTTTGTGCATCCACTGCCCAACGCAGCGTCACCAATGCATTTGCTTAGGTAACGATACGGTCAGTTGTAGTTCCTGCAATTTAGAGAGCCGTGCCGATGCCACACTAGGATCCGTTGAATGCAGTGTCAAAGTTAGACATTCAAAGAGGCAGACTAATGCCGCCCTTTGGATTCTTACGGTTCTATGTTAATTAAAACATATAACACATCTCTTAAGAAAAATAACAGACCTCTTAGTAAGTAAATGCTATGATCATGACTCCAAAACCCAACGTTATTTAATTACTACAAGCCCTATAAAAAAAAAAAACCTGGCACAAGCACACTTAGTGAAGACAAAACAACGTCGTAGCCAGCACCCAAGCACTGTCCTGAAGGCAAGCAGACAATAATTGTTTTATTGAACCACGGCCCTCAGTATCACTGCCTTGAAACAAGCATCTGCCAAAGACAGATTGCAATTGCTAGTGCCAAATAAATGTATCCAGCTAATTTTCATGTTGTTACTTTTAAAATATTTTACACTGTTTTCAACGTTTTAACTTGTGTCCACGTGAAAAATCCGATTTTCATAGATATAAAATATCGATGAAGCTGTAATTATTACATAAAATAGCATATTACACACGATATGCATGCTTATTTTTGGGTAGCTAAGACCCCATTTACAACAATCACAAAACCGACGACTACCTGCAGTGTCTTTGTTCCAGCAAGATGAGAGAATCATGCCCTTTTGGCTCCAAAGCAAAACAACATCCCATGATGCTGTGAAAGGCCTTGGGCAGAATGTTGGCAAATTCATGTCTTTATTGAGATGATTATCTGAAACTACCCATGGCAGAAATGACAAGGTCAAAGGGTCTCCTCGTTTCTATAATAACTGTATAAGCAGGTGATTGCTCTCAAAAGCTAATGGTCACCTTCTCTCGGTGATGTTAGTCATCAGAAGCAATGCCTCAAGTGATTGATGAACCGCATGATCTATTGCTAATGCAGATGCTCAGATAGATCTTAACTATGGACTGTATAAACAATGCCGTTAGAATGCAATCAACCATACAACCTTGACCACAATGTCCGAGACAAATATGTCTCAACCTATACAATTCACGGCAGCTCTCAACCACTGTCATCACCTTTTGGTTATATAATGCTGCACGTTTAATTTAACTTAAATATATGGAATGTTGCATATCTGCACACAAACATTTGTCATTCATAAATCACTTATATTGTAAGCTTTCTTGGTCAAACTCCATGCAGGTGTGCTAATCTAAACGATACTATTACAATTCATCACGCAACTGCTTGCTTTTGGCTATTGGAATTGTAAGTCGCGGTATTCTGCTCATTCAACTAAATCACACAGCTCTTGAAACCTGTCTTGTTCAATCTCCAAGCTCTCAGGTGAATTCTGATATCTGCCCTGCAAAGGGATGTTTGTTCTGCCTCTGCAGGGTTTCCTTGTCAGGGCAGCACCCGTGGGTTGTTCATCACTGGGGTCTGGAAAAAAAAAACAATTCGTGGCCGCGTTTGCTGCAGCCAATTCCGTCCAACCAAAATCTACCACACCACCGCTTGTGCCACTTTGTGGAGTGCCACTTGGCTCACCGAAACCAGGAGAGATGAAACATATGAGGCCTCCTGAGCATGGGTTCCTGCATGAGTACACGGGGTATGCTGGGTACGCCAGCAAACACCGGGGCATTATACAGAGAGATGCAACTGAACCGTGGACAGATGATTGGAGATGCAAAATGATCTACGCATGATCTGTCAACTCGTGACGTATCTGCTGAAACATATATTTCTGTTGAAATAGCTCCCAGTCATGATTATATCACTTAATACTAAACTTGTACTGTTGTATTTACCAGGTAATACGCACTGAGCTATTAGCTCTAGTTCAGAAGTGACCTTGTCACCACTGATATCTGGCAGAAGTTGCTTTTCATGTGGGAATTTATCGTAGCCAAATAATCTAAATACGTATTGGTGAATGTGGAGGGCAAAACCGGCATGTCAGGTTCCCTATCGTCATTGAGATGACGACAGGGAGAGATCATGCAAACTCCAAATACACAGGCGTCAGGGTCGGGTCGGGATTGAACTCACGACCTCCTGTATACCAGACGAGAGAGGTCAAATATCGGCTCCTCGGTGCTCCAGTAAACTGTCTATAAACTGAACTTGTAAATGAAGTGATACGATCACAACCAATACTAGAAGCTTAGGTGGCCTCTATGCATGACCAATTAGTATGGCAATTGTCGATCTGGCCAGTGCATACGTGACACACTTTACATTGACTAAATGATGCATTCATTTGGTTATGGTGAGTGGCACCATTAGCAGAGATTGATCAAATGTGGTTATTGATGGGTGGAAACCAAAGGATACTAGGTTCAACATTGTTTGCATATTATGTATATGGCCGTGAACATCCATGTATGTTGTTAACGGACGCCATAAAAGCACGTCAAAATATTTGCTTCAAAATTAATCTAAAATGTCCAATTATATATTGGGGTAAGATTAACCACGAGTGCAATTTAAAATAATATATTAACGTATACGTGACTTGAATTTTTTGATTTATGTGATATTAATGTGACAGTGAGTTTGCATGTGCATTGATTCATATCGATCTAAATATAAATGCTATTTTAATATTAAATCAATTATATTGATGAATACTTACAACTTATATAATGTATAATTTAACTCCACATTTACACACTTGAACTTGTTTTTGCTATGTAATATTAACGCGCCCTCACCTGCTTTTAGTGACGGACACCAAATCAAAGGAATATCAACACAATATGTAACTATTTATCTACATGCTCTATGTATGTAGATTTTTATAATGGACCATATACAGTATGCATTTTAAATATCATACAAGACTTGCATTACTTCATACGATGATACGTATCCACCATTATATGAATGCATCATGAGGCTAAGATTAATGCTTATTTTATCCGAACCAAAGGCCTCATCTGTGAATATTAATTCCAGCACGAATACCGAGGACACATTGCTTTGTAAATTATTGTTTTGATTTTTCCCATATTTTAATATCTAGCCTTCTGTTTCAAGTGGCAGATGTATGAAAAACATGAGAACAGCAGTACAGTGAGAAATGGTCCTTCTTATAAAAATTAATCTGAATTTAATCAGCTTATATATATATATCCGAATATTTCAATAAGACTTCTGTTATAAGCAGTGCTGAAGATAACACTCAAGCTTAAAAGAAGGCAAATTTACATACAACTGCACAATATATTACAATTGCATTGCCAGTTAAAGTTTTTATATTTAAATGAACTAGTTTAAAGGGGAAATTAATGTGCCATGTCAATACTAAAAGTTTCAAAAGGGATTACTGCTTATCCATGAACTCAAATGACCACATTATTTTTATTCCCACATCCTTAATCTCCCGGACACAATCAGTTTACTACACTGGAAATTAGACTCTAAATAGAACTTCAAATTTCTAAATTGAGGAGAGGGATCGAGAGGAAGTATTTAATTTAAATCGAGTTATAATATAGAGAGACCAGACAAGCAGAGTCAGAATGTGAGCTGGTGAAGAATACTTTTTTACTGTTAAGAACTAGCATGCTTGGAATGTAAATATAACTAATCAGCATGAATTGTTATTTTATAAAATGTGATTCATGAATAGTGGGCTATACATTAATAGAGAAAGATAATAGCAATTATATGCTATGGTTCTTTCGGTAAAGTCACGTAGGTAGATAGATAAAATAATAACAATAAAATAATAAAAATTTAAATAAAGTGAATAAAAAATAATAACAATATCACGTTTCGATCGCAACACAAGCAGTCGTCTTTTTTCTACTGATGACGATTGCTTGTGTTGTGATCGAAACGTCGTGATA